GGGGGGGGGGGGCAAACAAAAAGACTGAATAAAGACAAAGAAAAGCCTAGAAGATAACAAGTTGGCTCTTTATACTCTCTGATAAAGTTCATGTAATGGTATTGAGGGTTTTAATAGAAAGTGTCAGGAATTTTAATGCCTGAATAGCAGTCACTAAGGGAGAATTAATGATGAAAATTTTTTTTCAATTACTTTCCTTGCCTTAGGATAATAATATATACCTTTAACACCTTTAACACAGTGAAGTCAGAACACAGCATACTCACTCCAGTTTTCCATGCAAATCATATCACGTGAAGCTTCTACAGGGTAACGTTATGTGTTCCAAGATGAACTCAGCGCTGCCTACTCAACAGCATCTCGAATCAGCTCACCCCAAACTGAACTCATCCTTCTCCCTCACCCCAACTCTCTCCACTTATGTTCCTAATAACAGTGATCTTGCAAATTCAAGCTAGGAACCTGGAGGTCATCCCTAATTCTCTCTCCTTTCAAGTCCCCCATATCATGTTACCAAGCCTTAAATCATTGCCTAAACTTCCTCCTGAATGTATCTACTGCTTTGCGTCTCCATCTTTACCACCCAAGTCTAAGTGAGACTCCATCATCTATCTATTCAACTGCTTCCTAATTGGCCTCCCCATATCAATTCTTGTCCCTCTCCAGACTAATCTTCCTGCTGCATTTTAAAACACAAATTGTGTAATACTCTTCAATGATTTTCTCTTGTCCTCAGGAGAAAGCCCAAATTTCTTTGCAATCATTTCTTACGTCTCCAGCCCTATCAGGTACCATCCTGTCCTTCAGTCTATGTTCCTCCCATCCTGAACTTCTTTCAAGTCTAAACAGTCCTTTCTCAAGTTCTGCATAAGTTGTCTCCTCACTGTGGAACAGCTTCTCATCCCCTCTGCCACAGTCCTCGCTTGATCACCTAATTCATCCTCCAGGTCTCAGGCTAATGCCATACTTCTATGCGAGAACCTTCCAATCACCCCTCAGACAGATTGGATTCCCCACTTTACAAACTCATCACACTTGAAAAACCTGCTCAACTAGTGTCTTCCCGGCTAGATGTAAACTCCAGTAGGGCAGGGGCCATGTCTCTTTCACTAAGCATTGTAGGCACTAGATAAATAAGACTGACTAGCTAAATAAATGGAAGGATAAATGGCATGCCCAAATAAACAGATTGAGCTATATTATATATAATGGGTCTCTGAAAGTAGCCTTGAGATTTTGGGATTTTTTTTTTCTTCATAATCTTATCATTTGCTTCCATACTTGAGGATTAGAATTGAAACTGTATTCAGGCCAAGCGCCAAAACTGCCCCAAAGACAAAACTAATCAGCTGCTGAGCTTTGATCTAGGCACCCAAAAGCCCAGGACCAAAGCATGAAACATGATGCCTTCTACTTCCCTAGAGCAAACTAGATTCTGTTTTTCATAAAACAAGAAACAAGAAAAACAAAAGGAGAAGGAGAGGAAGAAAAAGAGGAAGGGAAAGGGGAAGAGGAAGAGGAGGAGGATGAGGAAAGAAGAGAAAGGAGAACATTTGGCACTTACTGTGCCTTTCAGCAAAAATTGGTAAACCATTTAACCAGTCTTTATTCCCCAAAACTCCAGTGAGTCAGATAGTTGAAACGCTATGTTATAGCTGTTCTCAAATACGTTTATGAACAACTATGCCAAAAGCAATCACCGTGTCATAAGAAATATACACATCAGTGGAAAACACAGTACTAGTTTCTGAGACAACATGTGATGCAAGCCGAAAGAGTAGCAAGAGAATGAATCCATCTAAACGTGCTCATACAACCTACCACACCTCCAAACCTGGCCTAACACGTCTACTCAGCACACAATTTGGCTTGTGAAGGCTGGGCATGGGAAGAAGAAAACATAATAGAAGGGCGAAGGAAAAATGGGAAGAAAAGATAGGAAGGGAACTTTAGAGCAATTATACTCACTCACACAGCAGAAGACTGCGGGAGGTAAATCGCTGTAAGAATTGAGCTCTTCCTTGAGATTCTCCTCATCCCTGCTTCTCTACACTCACCTCTCACTCTCCGCTAGGAGCTAAACATGGCAGCATTTTCCAGAACAGGAAACAAAAGAGGAAATCCACAGGCCTAGGTTACCTCATATTCATCATAAAATCTTCATGGTTGCCTCTGTTCAGGTGCAGGTCATTGGGGTAGACCAGAAAACTCACAAACAGGATCATTAGGATCTCCATGGAATTTTTTCCTCGATCCACAAAATCACCATTAAAAACATATGGGTTGCTCACTGAGGGGAGACCATTCTGTGGAAGGAAGAAGGAGAAAAACAAGCAGTTAAAAGAATGTACTTTTAAAAGTAACGCTTTGTACTTAATGTCCATGTGGATATGGAGAAAAGAGGCTGAGTCAGTTCTTCCACTGGGAAAAATCTGCTCACTCACTCAAGCCAGTTTCACTTTCCAGGGCAGGCATCTCCTGCAAGGGACCTTGGAAGTGAAGGATTAGCTTGGGACAGGAAGACTCCAGGGGGATGGGGATTGCTCATTCTACTCACCACCACCTACTATGAGTTTTCTCTGAAAGAACCTGATATTTGTCCTATTAAAAATGGTTATTCTCGGGCTTCCCTGGTGGTGCAGTGGTTAAGAATCCGCCTGCCAATGCAGGGGACACGGGTTCGATCACTGGTCCGGGAAGATCCCACATGCCGTGGAGCAACTAAGCCCGTGTGCCACAACTACTGAGCCTGCGTTCTACAGCCCGTGAGCCACAACTACTGAGCCTGCATGCCACAACTACTGAAGCCCACACACCTAGAGCCTGTGCTCTGCAGCAAGAGAAGCCACGGCAATGAGAAGCCCACGCACCACAACAAAGAGTAGCCCCTGCTCACCGCAACTAGAGAAAGCCCGTGTGCAGTGAAAAAAGACCCAACACAGCCAAAAATAAATAAATAAAATTAATTAATTAAAAAAACAAACAAAAATTAAATAAAATAAATAAAATAAAATAAAATAAAAATGGTTACTCTCATCTCTTTCTTAGGTAGAAGAGGGAAACTTCTACCCAAGGAAGAACACTAAACTAAGAGCCAAATGTCGTTCATTCTAAGGGACCCTTATTTAACTTCTCTGGGCTGTGATTCTCTCAATTTGAAAAAAGGGAATGACACTATATTCTCCACACACACCCCCACCCCAGATCAAATGAGAGAACGGGTATGAAAGCACTCAGGAAAGTGTAAGGTACTGCCCAACTGTGAGCAGGGCTAACACACCATCAGTACACTCTGATACCATCACACCAGGTGTTACAGGCATGTGTTTTGACTTCTCACTGACCAGGGCCATATTTGTTGTTAAATATTTTGATTACCACTCCTGAGTATGAGATAATACTTTAAGATACAGTCTTAGCACAAAAAAGGACTGGGATCAGGACAAAGGTCTGGTCTTTATAGCAGCTATTCGCTCGTTTACTTCTGTACTACTAAACTCTAAGATAAAACACGTCATGCCTGGTAGGGAAATGGTTGAGTGCATTTCTATTGCATAGTAAGATAAATTCAAATGTTTAAAAAATACATTACAAAGAGAAAATTTTAAGTACTCATACATCCTAATATATGTCCTCCTTCAAAAAAGTTACCTTCAAGAAATAATGCATGTATTCTAGTTATATTAATCTTTCTCAAATGATTTTCAAATTCCTTTTTTGTTAGATTTCAAATTACATAATAAAATCTTATTACTTTATACTCACCACCTAGTATTTATATACATTTAAAAATTTTCATATCAATATGATAGAAATAGTTGAAAAAATATAATACAAGTTTTAGCAAATAACTTAGGGATTCCAGAAATCATTATGCAATGAAACATGTCCTGAAGGCAACTGGAAACAAACAAGCAAGGAGTGGTGTAGTGTTCTGGGCCAGAAGACTTATTCTCTAATTCAGCTCCACTTTTTTTTTTTTTTTTTTAACATCTTTATTGGGGTATAATTGCTTTACAATGGTGTGTTAGTTTCTGCTTTATAACAGAGTGAGTCAGTTATACATATATATATGTTCCCATATCTCTTCCCTCTTTGTCTCCCTCCCTCCCCCCCTCCCTATCCCACCCCTCCAGACAGCCACAAAGAACCGAGCCGGTTTCCCTGTGCCATGCGGCTGCTTCCCACTGGCTATCTACCTTACGTTTGTTAGTATATATATGTCCATGTCTCTCTCTCGCCCTAACACACCTCACCCTTCCCCCTCCCCATATCCTCAAGTCTGTTCTCCAGTAGGTCTGTGTCTTTATTCCTGTTTTACCCCTAGGTTCTTCATAACATTTTTTTTTCTTAAATTCCATATATATGTGTTAGCATACGGTATTTGTCCTTCTCTTTCTGACTTACTTCACTCTGTATGACAGACTCTAGATCTATCCACCTCATTACAAATAGCTCAATTTCGTTTCTTTTTATGGCTGAGTAATATTCCATTGTATATATGTGCCACATCTTCTTTATCCATTCATCCGACGACGGGCACTTAGGTTGTTTCCATCTCCGGGCTATTGTAAATAGAGCTGCAATGAACATTTTGGTACATGACTCTTTCTGAATTCTGGTTTCCTCAGGGTATATACCTAGTAGTGGGATTGCTGGGTCATATGGTAGTTCTATTTGTAGTTTTTTAAGGAACCTCCATACTGTTCTCCATAGTGGCTGAACCAATTCACATTCCCACCAGCAGTGCAAGAGTGTTCCCTTTTCTCCACACCCTCTCCAGCATTTATTGTTTCTAGATTTTTTGATGATGGCCATTCTGACTGGTGTGAGATGATATCTCATTGTAGTTTTGATTTGCATTTCTCTAATGATTAATGATGTTGAGCATTCTTTCATGTGTTTGTTGGCAGTCTGTATATCTTCTTTGGAGAAATGTCTATTTAGGTCTTCTGCCCATTTTTGGATTGGGTTGTTTATTTTTTTGTTATTGAGCTGCATGAGCTGCCTGTAAATTTTAGAGATTAATCCTTTGTCAGTTGATTCATTTGCAAATATTTTCTCCCATTCCACTTTTACTCATGTGTCTGTCCTTGGGCAAGTTATTTGATCTTTATGAACTCTAGTTTCCTCATCTGTTAAATGAGAATGATAACTTCCAAACTTATCACACAGGGCTACTTCGGAACTCAAATGAGACTGTGTGTATAAAATTTCATGAAAACCATAAAGCACCATACAAATTAAGAGATTCGTTTTATTATGGCCTCCAAGTTATTTCTATTTTTAAGATCCCATTATTTTATATCTTCTTATACATTAACTCACATAACCTTATTCATACTGGGCTTAGATAGTGTGAGCCAGTTATAAAAATACAGGCTATTGGTCATCAAAACATAAAGAAAAGGGGAATGATTCTGCATCTCTGATACACTTCCTTCCCTCAGCCTTCAGCTGGTTGGGATGAGTAAGCTGGAGAAGTCTGAGAGGTGCTGAAGGCTATAGGTTCTATTGGGATGTCCAAGACTGAAGGGGGCTCAAGGAGCAGCAGCAGAGAGCCATGGAAGAACTAGGTCTGAGAGGACATGTGGACTCCTTGATTAAGGGGAGACCCTGCCTCAGAGCACGTATGTGGTCTTGCTTGGGAGAGAGGGATCTGGATCTTACCAGAAAAAGTATAGGAGAACTTCTTTTACATCTCTGAAGCTAAAAGGATACTAATACTTGTATTTAGAGACACCTAGGAACATAGAGACTTCCTCTCACACTCTTGATGCGAGAGTAGAAAGTGTTGTGCCTCCAACTATGGAGAGGCTTAACCTAGCTTAAGCAGAAAATTAAAAATGGAAATAACCTAGTACTTAAGGGTATCCAGTAACCAGAGAGAGGCAGACCAATGAGATCTGCCAAAGTGCGATCCCCTAATGAGACAAGACCGCTGGAGGAGACAGAGGACACTTTTTTTTTTAAAGAGTACCATGAAATAAAGAACAAAAAGTTAATAATTCTTGGCATGAAAAATATGCTATTCAAATTTAAAATAGCAATAGATTGGCGCTAACTAAAAGAAAGAATGGTTGAAAAATACATTACTGACCTGAAAGAGCAAGCAGACAAAAAATCTCTCACACAGAGCAAAAGGCAAAATGATGGAAATCATGAGGAATGAGTAAGAGATTAGAGTTCAGAGCCAAGAGAACTAATGTGCCAATAATAAGCATTCCAGAATCAGGAAAAAGGAACAGATGGAGAAGAGGCAATAATTACATAAATAAGAGAGGGAATTTTCTATGGTTAAAAAGAGACTTCAGCCTGAAGTTTGAAAGAGCTCATGATTTCTATGCTCAATGAACATGTATTGATTGCTTGTTATGTACTAGATACAGTTTTAGGGTGTTAGAAACACAGAAGTAAACAATACAAAGTCCCTGCATTCAAGCAGCTTGCATTTAGAGAATCTAACACCCACATGCCCCATAGAGGAAAATACTCAAGACAATATTCTAACCAAATAATAGCAGTAACAATAAAAAGTCCTTAAGCCAGGGAAAGACTAAGAGGAAAGAATACAGATGTGAACAATGAACCTTGCAATATATAATTAAATATAAATCAATAGCAATAATATGGAAATTGTGTTTAAGTACAAAGCAAGGATTCAAGAAATAGAAGAAACATACTATGAAGGAAATCTAATAATGGTCAAGAACTAAAAATATGGCATGAACAATAGCTAAGGATTTGCAGGAGAGGTGAAGGGAGAAAAGTAAAATTCTCTACAAATCTCATCTGAATGGGAGATGTACATGGAAAATGTGAAAACAAATACATTTGTCTTACTGGAGGAGAGAGAGGCTAATGGTGGAGGAATAAAGTTATAGCTATTTGAGAAGTATACATACATACATCATTTATTAGAAATGTCAGGAATGGGAAGACAATGACTAATGAATGGAAAAGCACCGTAAAAGTGCCAAAGAAAACAATAATTTAAAAAACTTCACCAAAACAGCAAAAAGAAAGGAAAAAAGGATGAAACAAAGAGAAATAAATAGTAAACAAAGTAGAATAGAAGGACATTTTTCAAAAATATGTGTTGTTATACTAAATGTGAGTGGGTTAAATTCTACCATTAACATACCGAGACTACCAGACTACATTAAAACACAAAACTCAGGTATGTATAGTTTGTGAGAAATACACATGAAAAAAATAAAGGGAGACTGAAAACAAGGTAAATGCAACAAAGAAAAAGCAAAAATGCAAATATTAATATTAGAGTGGAATTTTTAATATTAAAAGT